CATGGAGTGGGGACCACGTGCGAGGTTCCAAGAATAAAGGATTATGAGCTATATAAAATTTCATTCAAGCACAAGAACAAGTTTAACACTACTAATATATTATATTATACATGTTTCACAACTATGATTGCCTACTCTTAGCTAGAACTATTATAGCACATCTGATTTTAATTGTCGAAAATAAGTAAAATAAGTAAGTAATAATTTTTTATATATTCAATGGAATATATTGTAAATATTAGTGAAATGTATAGTTTCTAAAATGTTTAATTCACGAGTTGATTCGTCGTGAAATATTAGTTTCAAATTCCTTTTATTTTTTCTCGTTAAGAAATATTTATTAATTTATCATTAAAAATTATTCATAGTTTTATTTATAATATTTATGGTATTTTGAGTCTTCAAAAACAAAATTGAAGACATTTTTCCAGTAAACATTCAAGATCTTAATTGATATGAAAATCTGATTCTTTGTCGTTTCACATATGTAAAAGACTTTCTTAGACAGTATACACTAGGTTTCAATATACCTAAGTGTATAAACAAAAGTAATTTACATAGATAAGAAGAAAAACTGAGTAGAATAAAGTCTGAAGACTTTGTACAAGACGATAGCATTTATAAATAATGCAGCCGATATCTCCCATCTGGACGGAATATCTACTTTTGAATACCACAGTGAAATCATTCTGCTAAGAAAAAAGCCTACTGATAAAATCCAGGGATACCTTTAGCTTATTCTAAATAATGCATTCAAGTCTGCTAGCCTCTCGTTTCGTATTCTTCATAAAAAAAAGGTGATTTTGGCACAGATAATATACTAGATAAGAATCAACTTCCAGTTATATATATATAGTTTAGTTACATACAGTCTTATATATAAATATACATAAATCAGAAAGACACAAATAAAAACAGATCAAAGTATCCAAAGAAAATGCATATTATCGAATGTTGTGCATTCAATGATGGAAGAAGGTACGGCTCCGCAGGTGACGTTTTCCACACATTGGGCCAAGAGCTCGACGCTGACCAAGTAGCGAAATGGATTGTGATGGTTGAATGTAAAGGAACATGTTTACCAGAGAATGCAAAGCACTTTTGTCTTCGCAGATCGGTGGAGCTGTCTGGTCAACGACCGTGAAAAAATTCGCGTGTTCAACGATACAACAGGACGCAGGTTAAATTAACCGGCTGTATTGTACTGTTCGGAAATGGCGATTCCAACGATAGTTTGCGTGAACAGTAACCCGACCAGTTGACACGTGAATACGTGAAACACGGTTTGAATTAATAATTACGAATTACGACACTGAAAATACAGATAGCAACGTGAATAAGTAAACGTCACAAATTCGTAGAATATGGAAAAATTTCCTGTTATCAAACTCTTGCGTTATCGTTAGCTTTAAATTGTAGTAAGAATTAAATACTAAAAAATTAATATTTCCCAACATTTTTAGCAAATGTTATTCCTAATGAAATAGGATAATAAAAATGTGTATTTCTTCCTATTATACACTTGCAGCTTAAATTGAATGCACATTATGTACAGAGTAATTAAATCATTACATTGTTAAATGTTTAGAATTAAATATTACTTTCTGGTATTATATTGATTTATTACACTTCTTAATTATTGATATTGACAAAAGTATATCAGTTTTATCATCATAGTAACTTAATTTACGCAATTCCCCTCATAGTTACATTTAAATTACATGTTACATATATATTAAATACATACAAAATAAAATGTAGTATAACTAAGGGACATAAAATGGAAAGTTATTATCAGTTGAATTATGTAAGTTGGATGTTGCTATTTCATTTAATTTCATTGAGAAATGATTCAAATATATTTTATCACACTTAATAATAATCACAATTATATGCGTGACATATTATTTCATAAAAATAAAATAATCAGTTGTTTAATTAATCAAACGAAAATAAAAAGCTTAATTAAAATGTAAAGAATAAAAATTTTATTATTTTGATGTGTATAATTAAAACTTCTTCTATTTCCTATTTATAGAAACCAATGAGTATTGGTAAAATTATTGTTTAAAAATTTAATTTAATTTGCGAAAATCTAAAAGAAGCTCTTTAAAATACTTTTACAAAGGAATAAAAAATGTCATACAAATTAGATCGTTATATTAGAAATATACTGTTATATAAATTTTAATATTAAATAAAATTCTAGTTGAATGCAATGCTAAAGTTCAATTTTTTTTTATAAATATTCAAAATACATTCTTATTATATGTCGAGTCTAGAGACTAGAATAATCAAAAAACGACATTAAGAATACTGTCGTTAGATACACGAGGAAGTGTTTAGCTATAGGAGCAAGGCAAACCATTGCATACCTGAATTTTGAGTAAATTGTTGACCATCGTCACTTTTTCTGCTACGATGGATACTGATGTTGAGTCCTGTTTAAAAGACTGGAACGATCTAACACAAGATTACAAGGAATTAGAAGTAAGATAATTTTTTGTTAATCCTGGGTTATGATGTCGGTGGTTAACACGTTGGACCATTTTTTGTGAGGTTAAGTGTATTTTTTATTTATCCATACTCAACAACCGGTACATGAAAAATTTTCTATATCTTATGTTACGAACTTTAAATGTTCTTTTTTGAAGCATATTCTTACGAATAATTTAAAATTCTATTGTGGAACATTTTTTTGTATGCTTTTCATTATTTATTATTTTATTAATGTATTTTTTACTAATATCCTTCCTTATTGTATAAATTGTTTAGAATATTATACAATCTTTAAATAACAGTATTTCAATTTTGTTAATAGGCATTGAACAAAGAATACCTGACAAAATTAGAAGAAGTAGGTGAACTTCAAGCAAAATGTTTAAAAGGAATTTCTCATCAAGTGTACAGAATGAGTGTAATATCAAAGTCACTTAAACAGTAAGTAATCAATTTTAGTACACATATATCTTTTAATAATTATTCCTAAAATAATTGGATATGTTCATTTAATCTTAGGTTACATGTAAGCGAAGCACAAAAAAGTTTAAGTAAAGAGATGTTTAAAAGAGAACAACAGTTACATGAGATAGAACAAACTTTACCAAAACCAAATGGTACATATCTGCAAATCATTTTAGGCAATGTTAATGTTTCCATACTAAACAAAAGTGATAAGTAAGAATTAATTTAATTACTATATATACATATTATATATAAGAATTAATCTATTATTAGAAACTTATCCAAAAGAAGCTATATGAAATGTACATTAATGCAATTCATTTATTTTGCAGGTTCAAGTATAAAGATGAATATGAAAAATTTAAATTAATCTTATCTGTAATTGGTTTTATTTTATCTGTATTAAATCTGGTAACCAATGTCAGGTAATATATTATTCATTTCATACTGAAACAGGAAAAGTTCATTCATGATTAGTTTCTATTTGTAATATATGTTACAGAACCTTGGAACTTAGTTTCATGTTCCTTTTAGTCTGGTATTATTGTACATTGACAATACGAGAAAGTATATTAAAGGTAAATGGATCAAGGATAAAAGGTTGGTGGAGATTTCACCACTTTTTTTCAACTGTAGTATCTGGTGTATTATTAGTATGGCCTAATACAGGGCCATGGTATGCATTTAGACAACAATTTATGTGGTTCAATGCTTATATCAGTATGTTATTTATTCAAACTGATTCTATGACAAATTTTTCTTTTAACAACCGATATAAATTATATTTTATTTGTAGGTGTAGTACAATCTCTGCAATTTTGCTATCAACGGGGTGTTTTATATCGCTTGAAAGCATTAGGTGAAAGACACAATATGGACATTACTATTGAAGGTTTCCATTCGTGGATGTGGCGTGGATTATCATTTTTATTACCATTCCTTTTTGTTGGATATCTATTTCAATTATACAATGCATATGTCTTATACACATTAATATCCCATATAGAAGCGACATGGCACGTTTCAGTCCTCAGCTTAATGTTCTTAGTGTTATTCCTAGGTAATACAATAACAACTATCATGGTAATTCGCCAAAAATTAAGAGAACGTGTAAAGTACCACTTTCCTGGAGTATTTTCTTCTAAGTCTGAACGTAAAAAGGAAGTAAATGGAGAAAAGGATGTAAAAGTTCAAAAATTTGAGTGAAACAAAATTAATAAGACTTTTTTAATGAGGCGAGTATGAAAAAAAGATTAATGAAATATAAAATAACTGTTTGGGAATAAGTAAAATACAAATGTTACGGGAAAAAGTAATAAAAACATGAAACTGAATCACATAGATTAACTTTGAATCAGGAAATACGAACAAGAAATAAACTAAGTATCACAAAATTCTTTCCCCCATGTATTGACATTTGTCTGTCATTATCATCAAGCACAAGACCTATCCAACATATTCTAGCTTGTTGTAATATAAAAATGAATTCTACAAAAACATTATTTTTGTAGATACTAATATAATATATTAAAGTTACATGTATTCACTATTAACTTTTTTTAAGTAAAATTAAAATGTAGATATTAATATATTGAAAAATTGTGTGAAAATTTATTTCAAAATTTGTCTATATTATAACTTCAAAGTAAATAATTGTTTAGTATGTTATATTTTATGCTTATGGATATAAATTTAGGTTGAAATTTTTAATTTACACTCTAGAAATATTAGTGATGTGTAAACAAACGTTGGTCATTTTTAAACACAATTACAATTTGTACATATATGAAGAAAAAGCAAAAAGAATGAAATGTAGCGGTTTCATGTGTATAATTGCATTCACATAGTGGTACATGCGTGCATGCACGCGCGTGTGTTTTGTGTATTATATACCATTATGATAATATTTATTCACGCACACAGCCGTATATTCAGTACTCACCTTACTAATAGTCATTTATATCATTTATGCATGACATTCAGTAAATTTGTGTAATATATATCCTATTTGTTCTTAATGTATTTATTAAATTATATCTGTAAATAAAATTTCATTCACTCAATAGTATATAAAATGACAAAGTTTCAATACTTATGCGTGAGTGCGTGCGTGCATGATTATGTATTGTGTTCGTCTTTTCATTGGCGTGTAAAAATGTGAAAAATTAACAGAATAAAATCGAATTTCTTATATCTAACAGTGTTTAATATAAAGAATTATATTGTTAAATAATTTCACTAAATTTCCGTAACTGCTTACTAATAGCAAGAATACTAACAAAATTTCAAATTTTATTAAAGAAAAATCTTTTACTTCTACAATTATGAATTGTTACATTTATGATACTTCAATTTATCTTAGTCATTGTTACTGATGTAGATAAGGATTCAACAAGCAAAGTTGGGTGTGTCGGTAATTTTCCTTCGAAATATTTACTGTACTGAAGAACATCAGTCATAATAGTAGTATCGCATTTTCTTATATTACTCTGTTATCCATATCAAGCGTTTGTTATAGATAATTAAATAATATTTTATTTTAAGTAAAATGCATGCAAAATGTTGGCCAGTCGCAGTAGCTGTCATTCATCCAAATATCGGAGGTTGGGCCGGAAGCTATTTTACTAAAAAAAATATTAAACCCTGGTATGAGGTAATTAAATCGATTAATCATTAAAATTATTGAAATTCAGTAATGTAATACAAAGTTTGAAAGTCTTAACCAATAAATTTATTATTAATAATTCAGTTATTGTATTTGTTAATTAAATTTTTTTATCTTTAATTTGATTCTTACCAATCACGAAAAAATTTAGTTTTAAGTCCATTGAATTTGTATGTTTTACTGTATGATATCAAATTAAAAGAAATCTTTATCTATAAAGTTACATATATTCAAATAATAGGAAAGAAATTTAAAGAATATTAATAAAATCATATATCATTTTTATATTAAGAGAAACTGACTTGTGTTTAATAAATTACAATGTACACCTCTGCTTTTGATCATTAATTGATTATATTAAACTTTTAAATAAAATTAATTTTAATAAAATAATAATATCTTGGGTGGTATTCAATAGTCTTTAAAAAGACCAACTTGGACTCCACCAAACTGGGCATTCGCACCAATATGGACAACCATTTATTGCACAATGGGATATTCTTCATATTTAGTATGGAGAGATGGTGGTGGTTTTAGAGAAGCAATAGTACCACTTTCTATTTATGGAACTAATTTAATATTAAATTGGTCTTGGACGCCATTATTTTTTGGACTACACAAAATAAAATGGGTATTTTGATAAAATTAAGCAAGCTATCATATTTTAATTATATTTCTAATTATCTTCTTTTTTTTTTTTTTAGGCTTTGTATGAAATTGTTTTATTGTGGGGAAGTACTGTAGCAATGGGTGTGGTATTTTACAATGTGAATTCACTTGCTGGATGTTTGACTGTTCCATACTTAGCATGGACTACTCTTGCTACAGCATTAAATTATGTAATTTACAGAGATAACAAACCAAGCATTGAAGTAGCTGCAGATGGAAAGAAAGAATAATTTAGTAAATAATACTAATGTAGCAAACAAAATTAACATAGATCACCTAATGAAAACAATGCTTTACTTCTTTTTCTTACAGTTATGGTATCACTATTATTTAATAAGAAATGTGCCTTGCATTGAACGCACAATGCTATTATTTTCATACTCTTTCATGGAGTAATCTACCCTATTCTGTGCAAGATCTAACAAACTTTACTATATATGTAATCTTAAATTTGCTTCTTTCTACAATGTCGCCTTTGTAGCGTGATCATAATGATCAATGAATTAACAGTTTTTTATACAGAATAGGGCAGAATATCTTACAGAAAAGAGGTATCGAGCACAGTACGGGGTTGGGCGGGACGCTGCACTCTGCTGCCATTTTTCACAAGCGCTATGTAGGATCGGTTGCATAAATGTAACCTTGCTGTTGAAGTACATATAAGCGTTTTTCAACAGCATCTTTATCTGAAATGAAATATACATACATAAATATAAATATATATATATAAATATTTTAACTTCAATATTGTGCCTAAACTAGGGAAATAGAAAAAAAGTAAAAATAAATTACATTTAATAAGAAGGGCTCTATCTTGACTGTGGCTGACATGCTGTGATAAAGAATGCAACAATATCTGTGCCGTGTGATACCGCTGAAAACATTCTGCAGGATTTCCAAACAATTCGTCAAGTGCCGCTGACTGACACTATCGAAAGAAAAGAATTCTTCATTAACCATAAAAAAAGAAAACAATAAATTAATCAAACACTTACCATTTGAATGGCATGATTATAAAGAATTTTATCCGCAGTAGCTCCTGTCTGATGAAGAAGCCCAGCACTATTGAGCTGTTTACATTCTGTGAGGCACGTTCTGAATTTTTCGTTCATTGTATTCACAACTAAAACAATCAAATTTTCATACTATCATACTGGATACATTGAAATTATTCGTGATTATACTAAACGAAAATTACCCTCTTTGACGCTAGCAGTTGGCTGTAATCTACCAGCCTTGAGTTGTTGTGTTGCAAGACTTAATCCAGAACTAAGCCACTGGAGAGCTCTAACAAGTAAAATTACTTGTTCTGCTCTTCTCCTCGTTGCAGCAGTACTTGCTTGTTCAATACCACCAATACCACCTAAAGGTCCTGCTCTTGTCCTTGCTACTTCACATACACATTCGCATAATGCAACAACAAAGTTTAACTTCGCTAATATTTCGTTGTGTTCTCGTTCCAAAAGCGTCTCCTCTGGGAGTTCGGGTGCAATGAACGTCAATGGTCGATCATCTGTTATTGTAGAATTCACTTCTGGCAGAAGATTTTGAAAACTACCCGCCTCTAAAATTTAACATAAACAAATATAAAAATATAAATTAATTTAACATAAAACACATGTCTTATGATAATAGAAACAATTTATATTTTTCTCTTGTGATATAAATTATATACCAGATATTTCAGGAAGAGTAACAGCCCTTGTACCAAAAGGAATAACTGGCGAATGCCTCAATGTGTTATTATTATCCTGAAATGCTCTTGACGTAGGAGAACCTAACACTGCTAGAGGTCCTGTTAATAATGGCGAAGATGCACTATTATTTCCAGTCGAACGTCGTAGCGGTGATGTTCCACTAGAAGTATGTGAATGCCTTGCAACAGGACTAACTTGCCATGTATTTGGTGGTGGAGGTGTCTCACTTAATCTGGAAATAATCATAGTTAAATAATATTATATATACTATAAATGAAATAACTTTTACCAATATAACACTTGTATACCTTCTACTGGGTGGTGTACCAATGACAAATTGAACACTAGGTGGACTAAGAGAGCCAATATCAGGAGCATGACTTCTATGTGTATCCACACTGCGTTTCATACTTATAGGTTGTGAACGAGGAACGACACTACTTCCTGATCTCATATTAGTAGAAGGAGATGACGGTTGTACGATACTTCTTTGAGACGGAACGGGAATTGGTTCCGAAATGGGAAGGAAGCATGGCCGTGGTGGACTTATCGCTTCTCTACTAGTTTGCTTGATATACCTAATCAATTAATAACAATATCACATATATAATAAATATAAATCTTTTGTAAAATATTATTAAAATTACGTACTTTACTTGCTGAGAGTTTGGATTATTGTCTGTGTCACTGCTGAGATCACTTGGCACAAGCACAAAGTCATCCTCAGGACTGGAACACGGACTCGTTGTTTCCGGTTCTGATATAGTAACAGCCGGACCTCCTTCTGGAACTGCTAATGTTCGAGGAGAAGCAGGAAGTTCAGCTTTTTTACTGGGCTTGGACTTTCTCTGGAACCTTGGAGGAAAGGATGCCCAAAGAATTCGTCAAAAGGCATACGATCTCTAGCGTTACGTCTTAATAAACCCATTAAAAGATCTGATAACTCAGGTGAAGTTCCAGGTGGAATTCTAAAATATAAGCAATTAAAATATAAAAACTGAATTTCTAAGTTTTGTTTTTGATAAATCATACATACATACATACATACATACATACATACATACATACATACATACATATATATATATATAGTAACATACTTAGGTCCAAGGTTTGCATTTTTCTCATAAAACAATTTTAAAGCTTGAGGTGTATGAGCTTGAAATGGAGCTTTCCCAGTAAGACATTGAAACACTATTGTCCCTAATGACCAGAGATCTGCTTTTGCATCATATTGAAGTGACATTATGACTTCTGGAGCCATATACATTGGTGAGCCACACAATGTTGCAGCCATTACACCATCTTGTAAGAACCTAGCAAAACCGAAATCCGCTAAAACATAGAAAAAGCATTCTAAAATCTTTTATCTCTACTTCTACTTGCAATTTAAATAAATAACATTTTTTTTCTAATTTATTTTCAGAATATATATTACACTATTACCTTTGACATTCTTAAATAGGTCTTACATAGATTTCAATTATAAATAAATATATAAAAATAGAATTAAAAATAAAATTAAAAAATAAATACATAAATACTTACCAATTTTTAACGTTATTTGATGTGGCTGTGGACATGCCTTACCACAATTATGACTGAGTAAAATATTTTGTGGCTTAAGATCCCTGTGGACTACACCTTTGGCATGCAGTGCTTTCATTGCACCTGCTAATTGCTTTAAAAACACTCTGATAGTATCTTCAGAAAGAGTGCCTTTTGCTAATAAAATCAATAAAAAATAATATAATACAATATATTCAGACAATCTTTAGATTTTTTGATCTGATAAAACATTTTTTTTAATACAAAACATACCACTTAAATAATCAGCTAAATCTCCACCATTACAATACTCCATAACCAGGAAGACATTATAATTAGATTCCTAAACAACAAATTCTTAATTAGACTAATATCAATATTATTACATCTATAAAGAAATTAAAAATATTTCATACTTACTAATACGAGCATTACATATTATTTTTTATTACACTAACCTTACAATCCAATAGTGCAACAACATTTTCATGATGTAGTTCTGTTAGCTCCTAAAACATAATGGTTTAGTCAGCAATCAAACTTATGCATTTGTTATTGAAATAAAAAGAATATAAATCTTTTCTAAATCATATGAGTGATTTTTATCTAAAAAAAAAGATAATTATTATATATACACATTCAAATTTCATTAAATATTGTTCTATTAATAACTAATATATGAACTATGAAATAAATATTCAACTTTTATAATGTTATTTTAGATGAATGACATTTAAAAAAGATCATTGTTAAAATACAAATGCAGATGTAGTTACAAACAAACACAAACCTTCAGAATTTTGATTTCTTTTCCAAGAAGATTCTGTGATTTCGCCAAACTTTTTTTAGTGATACTTTTAATTGCTACAACGAAATTTGGTTTCTAGAAAAAAACGAAACACACGCAATTGACATGTTCAATTTTTGTTTGAATAATTTCTTGTAATTTCATCAATGATCACATTTCCATGATCGTAGAAAAATAACAAGACTCACTTTACGATGTCTACCTCTGAAGACTACAGCGAATGCACCGTGGCCTATCAGATCTTTCGTATTATACTCGTAGTCGCCGACGATTTCCATTCTTGATCGTGATTTTTCGGCGATCGAGGATTTTTCACCGATCTTGTATATGCAAGGTCAACAGTTTACAAACATAGCACGACAGGCAAGGAAGATGCATTGCCTGCGGAGAGATCGATACGTGTTGTAAGAAAAGTTGCGGTCCGTAGGATTTTCGTACGGTATCGTTGTTCTTCTCCGACAATGTCTTCGACAACATGAACAATGTCGGTCTACATTTTGTCCACCTTTATAAATCACATCGATCATTAACTCATATCACCACACTGATGGTAAAGTATATTTGAAAATACAAAACACAACGGAGTACGCACTCAGTCGTACAGTTGCCTTTGCAAAATGTCAGACAATCGCACACAGAGGTCGTGTTAACGTTTATAGGTATGTGACTACGATACTAAAACCCCGTAACCTAAGCTTCTTTTAAATTTGTTCATAAATGAATATGAAATTCTATAAATTTTATCACACATTGTTAGAATTTTTTTAATTTTATTTTCTATAAAACTTGAATCTTAAGAAAAAATAAAAAATTTTAGATAAAAACAATACTTCTAATTATCTAAAACATCTAGTATATATTCCGTATATACTCAGGCTAATAATAATTGAAATTTTATATTTATTTTTATTAAAAATTATTTAAATATAAAGCTATTAACTTTAAGTATAAAAATAGTAATTAAAATTTAAATAAAATACTTCAAATGTTTTTGATAATAAAATTTTATAATATATTTTTTACTCCTTAATAATCAATTTAATTATAATCTATTTTGTATCTTTGTTTAAAATTCTAAATTATTGAGTAATGAAGACAAAATAATAGCATCAATTTTTATTTTTCTGTATAATTTTTTTTTAAGTAATTAAACTAAAATAATTGATTTAAATATTCAATACGTACTAAAATATATTAAATGATTTATTAAATATAGTTTATGTATTTTATTCTTTATGCTTGTAATTATTAAAGTAATTTATTGGGGCTACCATTTACCAATCTACAGCATTGCAAGGTCTGAAATATAACTACAGTCAGCTGTAGATGTAGAGTGCGTATCATGCATACGCACATACGTTGTCAAATAATCAAGTATTATCTTCACATATTTAGGCATCCTAGCATTCCGCAAATGTGATTATGATGAATATATATAGATATTCTTTCAATGGCTTCGCAATCGATTTCAAAACTCTACGATTAAGAAATTTCTATGCAACATCAGAAATTAACTGAATGCTTATAAATTAAAACAAGGATTCTGTATTTATTGTCTTTGGTGTTTGTAATTATAAAATTGCTTTATTACAATTATCAAAAGTATTGAAGATAAAAATTAAAATACCGTTGTATTAAGAAATTAATTTCATTATTTTATAAATATTATTTTGGGTGTATTGAAAAACATTTCACATAAAATAAAAATTACTTGAAAATTGTAGATTACGCAAAAAGATCATTAACATTTGCGCGCGAAATTCAAATCTTGCGCTATGTGCGTATTCTGTTGTTTTACTACCTCTACGCCCTCTAACTCAAAAGATTCATAAATAAAACTTTGTGTATTAAAAAGGTTGTATCCTATTCTTTCTTTCTATCTGTTATTATAAACGTTGTTGTTAAAATTATATTTATTAACATTTTAATAAATGTATTATTTTATTTTAAAAGAATATTAATAGTATGAGCACATAACCTCACACATTTAAAATGTAATTCTTTAAAATTCAATTATAAATTGTTTAAATATTGAATATGGAAGTGTAAGTAATTATTTTTTGTATTACTTTTAATTATTTGAAGCAATAATTATTTAAAACCTTTTGTGTAAATTTTATTTTAGGCTCAAAGAATGTTCAGCATATTTAAGCAATTATGAAGTTTTGAATATTCTGCAAAGTATAAAAGCAAATAAAAAACAAAAGATGAAACAAAACCAATTGGCAAGTATAACATATCAGACTATAAGATATTTAGAAAAGACCCCATGTAATAGACAATCACCCGAAAAAATTAGAGATTTTTTAAAAGCAATGGAACCATTCAAGCTGACAAAGTGTGAAAAATTAACTCTTTTAAACATGTGTCCTAAAACACCTCTTGAAATACAACTGGTAATATCAAATATATTTAAAAATAAATATGTATATATATGTGTATATTTTTTATAGTTTCTAAAATTTTTAGATTGTAGAAGATAGTGAAGATCGTTTAACTGACGAAGAAGTAGATTCTTTACTTCAAGTAGTAGCAAATTATTTAGGTGAAGATGAACAAGATGGGTAACATGTTTTCACTATTTTAACTTTACAAAGTTTTTAAAAACATTTTACATACTTTATGTACATTTTATTTATAATAAACAGAAATGGAATTAGTATAATATTAAATACATTGTGCAAGTAAGATTTTAGTTGTCCCATTATCTTTTTTGATCCCCGAGGTCATCTATGGAATCTTCATCGATCTGAAAATGTGTTACATATTATACATTACATACTTTTAATATCACTGAAGAAGGTAATGATTAGTTTTACCTGTGGCCATTTTTCTGGAATTATTTCAAATAATTCATCTTTTACATCTCCTTGTATAACTATTTCATCATCCCCTGTTACACTAGATCCACATGCAAATTTGCTACCAAAAAATTTTGCAGCTACTTTTAGATCTATGTCTATAAATTCAATAAAGTTTTAATCTTACAATTAAGAAATTTGTTTAAAGAATTTATTATTTTATTAAGAAAGACTTCTATATAAATAAGTATTTTATATTACCAAAAGTGCTGAGACCAGTAACAACTGTAACTGATTTCTTTCTTCCTCTAGGTGCTCTAGATACAGTCACTAATTTTGGAACATCTCCTTTTTTCTTTGTCTTAAGTATACCTTTACCACCACGTTTTTGTCGTTTCTTTTCATCTTCACCTCCACCTGCTTCTGTAGTATTATCCTCTACTGCTTATAAGTAAATAGTATTACAGTCTATTAATAAAATTATCAATTTAATAACTACTAATTCTTTTTATAAAAGTTATAATTACCTAATTTAACTTTTTCAAATTCTGTTGGTAAATTTCTTTCTAACCACTGCTTACATTTTTCGTATTCTGGATAATATTCACAATACTGTGATACAAATAGGAATTAAATTTTCAACAAATTTCAGTATCAACATCTTGTCATACAATATAAATTTCAAATATCAACCGTCCAAGATTGCCTTACCTCAATAGGAAGAGAACAGTTTCCACAATATTGTACTTGAATCGGATAAGTGACATTAGGATCAGGTCCTAAACGCAAATTTGACTGTTCCTCTGCCGACATTCTTTCAGACGCTTAACCTTACTTTCGTAAAGCTTGATGTGGATTTATTTGATAAAACGTTAACGTCTTTCCAATTTTTGCAGTTTAGTTTTACTCCTCAGGAAATATTTTTTATTGGTCTATAATACTTTCCTTAAACAAAGTATGCACTATTTCTTATTCAAATCAGTACTACGTAAGGTTAACAATTCGACATCTAGTAATTTTAATTCTATTCTGTTATGTTCTGAAAATGTCTCCATTTCTGCCAATTGCTACCAATCAAAGAACGTTCCAATAACGTCCAACTTCAAAAGGAATCGCACCATTTGATACACAGGCAACGACAAATAATAAACGTTCATAGAATGACGAAAGTGGATCACGTGACCAGAAACTCCAATCATAGATGCTGATTCGATAAACCGCTGGACGAGAAGACCAATCACGTACATTAGACTTTGTACTTCGTTCGAAACGCACGTGCAGTAGAGAAAAGCGGCTCGGAGTGCCTCAGAGTTAGTGTGCTGCCTCGTGAAAAGAGTCGGAACGTCGTTTTGGGGTATAATTTCTAAGAGGTGTGTGCGCGTGTTACTGTGAGTAATAAGGTACCGGCTTTTAGAGTCGCGTAAAAGTTTTGAAGAAATTGTCAAAGAACAATGACATTGGGCGCACAAATTGAGACCTCTACGGAAAATGGGAGTATGAAAAACCCTCTGCTGAATGGCAATGAGGATCGAACAAGTACTGGTTAGTATATGATGATTTTATAATCAATTATTATTAATTTCTTCGTTTTTCATACTTAAAGAGCATAGCTGACTACGTTATATAATGATTCGATCAGGTTACCATGTTCTGTTCGTTTTAACGTGTGCCTTTAACGATGCCGCCTCGGCCAAAAGCCGGGCCCACGGTGTTATGTAACGCGCGAATTGCGCGAATCTATGTATTGCGGGGTCATGTGAGCCGCAAGTTTTACGAGAGACACTAGCAGAAGACATGATCCATACTAGCAGACGAATTTTCACCCTTCCGTCGTTCCGATTATCACGAGTAATCACGTCTTTCTTCCCTTCGATGTCCTTGCTTCACGTTTTGCAAGCAGTTGCACAAGAACGCATAAACGTATCATTTGACATGCTTCTTCGAAGATGTACCTCCGAATCGATGTGTAGTTTAACCTTTACCTATTATTATTTTTTTGCCTTGTATTATTATTGAATTATATTTACACTGCCGTACTTAAAAATTAATTTCTTAAAAGCACGTGATAGTTTCTCTCTGGATGATGAAACCATGTTACCTGCCCTGTTTAACCTTAATTTATTTCAGTACTTCTCTCTTTAATGTCTCAAAATTTCCTTTAGTATTGAAACGTGGTTATCAGTTTGTTATTATTATTTTTCATGTCCACATTTTTGCATTATATGTTTTTGATTGTTTCTACATGTTAAATGATTACTTGTTGTTAAATGATTAAATTATCAAATTTAGGTAATGATCGTAATCATGTGCAGTAATATATGTTTCATTTAGTAATATTCATGTTTTCATTATCTATGGTTATGTAGGTTTATATTAGATAAATAGTATCTGCCAACAATGAGAATTATGTAAATTATGTTGCACAATTGTATCTTTTTTCTTTTATGTTTGACTGTTCTTATAACACATGTTTAACTTGTTTCCTGAGTTTAATGATCAGTGAAAAATAAATATGGATAATTCGAGGACTAATCAATTTTCGGGTGATGCGTTATTCATCACTGTCCATTGATACTAGGACCGTTCTGTTAATTTGCCCTTCTTTTAGAACCATTTTCGTGAAAAAAGAGCCGAAGGAAAACACGTGCATGTTAATGACCTCTCACGCATAGGCGTAACATCGAAGAAATTGAAAATCATTAAAAATATGCAACCTAAAATGTTAACATATTTTTTAATAAAACATTTATCATTAAATTTATTCTTTTATTTGTTTAAATATATTAACGTAATTAAAATAGTTTGTAGATATAATATTTTATCATCTTATAAATATTCTGATAATTGTAATTCAATATTTTATAATTTTTGGAAGAAGGAAATAATAAAAGTGAAAGAAGGTTGAATTTAAACAATGCCAGAACAGTAGTGATTTCATAAAGGTTTATGAGTTTTGAAAGAACAATAGTGAATTGCAAAGAATCATCGATAGTAGGGGTTATCGGTATTCCTTCTGACGTGTTCCCTTATGGCTTTGGTTTTGATATACTAAAATGATATTTTAGTAAAATATCTTATACAATTTTTAAATTTCGTAATTTTAATTTTGATGTATATTCAACAATTAATATAAACATACAAAGTATCGATTATTTTGATTCTAACAAATATATTGTAAATCTGTACACAATTATTTTTATATATTATGAAAATTTTGTTACTGAAATATTTTCCAAAAACAAACCTTGTTATCGTGGATAATATTCGTTAAATACTCGTCTCTAACATTCGATTTCGTATGTTTTCGACATTAAAACTAGCTTGCCTTGACTTCATATCAAATCTTCAAATTTAGTGATTCTTATCAACCTATTTATATATAGCCGCTTCATGAATGATTTCGAAACATGCCAAGTTTCTAACTATAATAATGGGACAAATAATGTTACATCTTCCTGGCACATGTGTGTGAAACGTTGGTTCCAAACTCGATGTTTATATATCGATTCAAGCGCATGCGATTGTAACTCACCTAACGTCAAGGAGATCGCGATTCTTCATTGCTCGATCTTATCGAAGATTCGATTCTCGAATCTTTTTCATTTAATTTGCACACAAAAATGTTTATGTAATAATACTTAATTTACTTGTACCAAAAAAGTACTTTATCACTGTTTTGCATTTTTTAAATTCTTATCTCCATAATTGTTATCTTTGAATTATTTATTGTCAGTAAATAACATTTTTTTGTTTTTTTTTTTTTAATCTTTTATCATCTCAATTTTTCACGTTTTGAAAGACATCTCAGGGAAAGTTATAAGTAAGATAAGAAAGTGGAAGATCCCTTTTTGCTCCATTCTTTAATTCCTATTTTTGGGTCCTTTTTACGATTGATTTTTATCTTGTCTTTAACAATAAAAAATTTAAAAAAGGAGAACAGTTTTTGTATGAAATAAAATGTGCGATAAGATTGTGATAAAGCAATGTGGTCTGTAAGATAAATTGATGTAACTTGAATATATATACACGAATACACGTATTCATAGAACCATGCAACCGAAGGATTTAGTTTTCATGATAAGAAAGTCTTCATTATAACGATCGAATGGTACTGACAAAATACATTATTACGATTACAAAACAGTTTAATTTGTTAAGTATTTTTGTAAAAAAATATATTAATTCTAATTACAATTTTATATTAATCTTCTTGTAAAGATAAATTTTGTCACGTTTTAACCTGTTTATTTATACTCCATATAATTTTCATGAAGTATCGAAGTACTTTACTTGCAGAAAATTATCATTGTAGATAACTTAAAATAAGTCTTACATTGAAGTGCTACATCTAAGTATTTTACATACATACATCCTCTTTCGATGTTCTTTCAATCTTGATATTCATAGGTGAACGCCCTCGAAGATCAATAAGATTTTGGTTGAAGATAACTTGATGAATCAATAATCGTTAAAAATATTGGACAGACTAAAATTAATAGATATAATTGAAGATGAATATAATTGTACTCTTGTGTATTTTTGTATTTTTGATTTCGATCATTATTACTTCTTACACTCCAGAAATTTTGTATATGTTTGAAGATTTATCGATAGTATCGAATAAAAGAACAGGAAATTTATAGTAGATAGTCGACTCAATTTAGTATTTATTTCGAAACATATAATGAAATATTTGTATAAAATTAAAACGTATTTTTTAATCGTTTTGTGATTTAGTATGCAATAAATGAAATTAAAAAGGAAATTGTAATATGTTATGAAATTCTTCAACAATTTATCGTACAAAACAGACGTATTTTAAATTTATTTTCGATCTTTCTAACCTTATTTATTTTCATGGAAGTGGGGCGGAGGGGTAAGGAGAAGGAGAATACAAAACATTTAGTTTTAGATTAATACGATAACTTAAGAAAAGTAGGTCAATGGAAAATATTAGATAGTGCATAGAAATTTGTTTAGAATAACAATACTCGCTCAAAGGAAATGACAATTAAGTACATAGAAAGCCTTCCGCATGGCGTATTGCTGCCGACCAGTATAAGACATTTATATACATATACAATGATAAATAAATTCTGTTTTTAAATTACTTTTTAATTTAAACTCTATTTGTTTTCCCTTCCTTTTCCTATTCAATTATCAATTACTTTTTGTACTGCTAATACTACTTTTCAGTAGAAAAGTTATTAGAAAATAATGATTTATGATGTCTATTATTACAGTTTTAATGTATTATAGTTATAAACTAATGTTATTATATTTCAAATTATTACACAATAATAAATCTTATTGAAATATAATTTAAGGTTAAATTTTATTTAATAACAATTTGATTACATACTGTCATCGATTATTTTAATTCTATTTATATCACGTATGAACATCTTATTTTTCCAATATACAATAGTCAGTAGATTTTTCTGATGCTGCAGATACTCGGAAAGTTAAGGTCGCTAAAGATCAAGGTTTCGTTGTTGCAAATTGAAACATGTTTGCGTGTATTGAGACGTACCATGAGCAACGGATCGCGGTAGCCACCGATAGCCATTTGTCTCATTATGAATCGTAATTAATGTTTTAACTACTTAAGATCGACATATGCCAGAAATGGATGTATATCGCAAACATAGTATCGATAAAATTAGTACGGCATTTGAGTGCGGACTATTTACATTGCCGTTTATTTATAAGTACATTGGTGAATGCAAGTGGTAGCTCCACGAATATCCACTGCCGTATCTAGTCGAAAATGCACCCTGTTTCCATAAAAGTAATGAATTTATTTGTCTTATTATCACTGTAAAAGATATAGAAAATTAACATTCTTCTAAAAGAAGTATTAGGTCTCGTAAAAAATGTTCAAGAAGTAAATAGAATAAAATTATAACTAAGACTTTTGTTTTTAGTTTGTTTATTTTATTATTTTTTCGACTCGTCAAAATTCTTTTAAGAATCATATATATAATGTATATTTATAATGTACATTTGCAATATAATTAAAGTTAACGTGACTCACTTGTATACTATTCGAAACGAAGAATTGTTTACCAAAACTAGCAGTCAATCAGTAAGGTATTTGTAGCTACAATATATATTACGCAAATCAGACACAAAAATGTTGCCAGTTATTATCCAGTTTTGATATACGATCGACAAGTTTCGACCATTTATTAATTTTCAACAAATACGAATTTTTTATTTACTCCATTTCGTGTATTTTTTTTTTCTAAAATTCAATATTTGAATAAAAATTTATTCATTCGATGATTTGTATGTATAGATATGAAGGAAGTTACAGAAGAAACCGGAAGTACTAGTGCAGTCGCGAAGAACGTAGTTGAGAAGGGTGAAGTCGAAGCTACAAAAGAAAAAGGGAATGAGAAAGAAAAAGAGAAGGAAAAGGAAGACGACAAGAGTAAGAAAAATGATAAGAACGAGAAAGAGGATGGCGATAAAGATGCTGGAATCGAGCAAGAAATTGTTTTCATTCAAGATATGGGATTCACCGTTAAGATTGTCAGTCCAGGTGCTGAGCCCTTTGATATCCAAGTTTCTAGTATGGAGTTGGTTCAGGTAATTAACAGTTCTTTGATGAATTTTCTCTTATTCATTATATAATAATAGAAAAGAATAAGTAGTACATTTCATTGTTGTTTTTTAGGAAATTCACCAGTTGCTCATGGATCGTGAAGATACGTGTCATCGAACATGTTTTTCCCTTCAACTTGATGGTAACACACTGGATAATTTCGCCGAACTAAAAAATATTGAAGGCCTAAAAGAAGGTTCAATAATTAAAGTTGTGGAAGAGCCGTATACAATGCGAGAAGCGCGTATACATGTTCGTCACGTTCGAGATTTATTGAAATCTGTAGATCCTGCAGACGCTTACAATGGCGTTGAATGCAGCAGTTTATCGTTTCTAAACATAGTCACTAATGGCGACATTCTCGAAAAAAAAAAGAGCAGAGCAGACTCGGTTGATTGTACTCCACCTGATTACATTATACCTGGCTGTAAAGATAGGCCATTGTTACCGTTACAACCGCAAGCCAAAGAACAAAAATGTCCTCCCTGTTTAAAAGTAATGTATAAATAATTATTCATCATTTAATGTATTGTTAAAATGAATACTTAATTTATTTACTTATTACAGGTATTAACAACGTCTGGGTGGAATCCACCACCTGGTCATAGAAAGCTTCATGGTGATTTATTATACTTACACGTAGTAACATTAGAAGACAAACAGTACTATTTGACTGCGTGCGCTAGAGGTTTCTTTCTTAATCAATCTACAAAAGAAGTATTTAATCCGAAACCGGCAACACCGAGTCATCTGTGTCACAGTTTAATTGAATTATTAAATCAGCTTAGCCCAGCATTTAAGCGAGGTTTTGCTGCTATGCAGAGACGAAGAACGCAAAGACATCCATTTGAGCGAGTAGCCACACCTTATCAGCTTTACTCTTGGTGTGCACCTCAGATTGAACATACAATCGATGCAATACGCGCCGAAGATAGTACGTTCCGTTTTATGTTATGGCAGTATTGACTGTTGTATTACGTAGATGGATGATGAATTTGTTTATTGAATGGTCTTACTAAATGTACTAGAATACTAAATGTAGTAGAGATGTCATCTTTTCTTTATTTTATTTTATATTAACATAGAAATTATACGTTTCACAACTTGAAATCTTGTGAAGATCATGTTTGAAATTAATTAACATAATATAATATATATATATAATTTATTTTATTTTATATAAAGATTTTATTTATTTCCAAATAGCTTTTTCTTCCAAGCTGGGATACGAAGAACATATTCCCGGCCAAACTCGAGACTGGAATGAAGAGTTACAGACAACGAGAGAGTTACCTCGTAAAAATTTACCCGAAAGATTACTTAGAGAACGTGCTATTTTTAAAGTATGCCTATGAACGACATAATTATACTTTAACACATCGTTAGAGTAATATCATTATGTTTCATGAATGAATTATTTAGGTTCACAGCGATTTTGTTGCTGCCGCTACTCGAGGTGCGGTAGCTGTAATAGACGGTAATGTAATGGCAATAAATCCTGGTGAAGAAGCGAAAATGCAAATGTTTATTTGGAACAATATTTTTTTTTCCCTTGGATTTGATGTCAGAGATCATTACAAAGAGCTTGGTGGTGATGCTGCTGCTTTTGTTGCGCCTAAAAATGATTTACAAGGTCTCAGAGTATATGCTGCCATTGATCTACCTGGTCCCTATACACTTGGTACTGTTGTAATTGATTATAGGTTTGTACGAAATTAGATTCAGACATTCTTTTTATCACATTATTTGTACGACGTGGATATTTTGTAGTGGATCATTTGTACATACTTGTTCGATGTTCAGTATTCTATCGCAACTTACATCTTGATCGAAAGGATGTTAAGTTTTCGTGGTAATTACTCGTATTCCTCTGCATAGAGGATATCGTGTCACCGCTCAGTCAATCATCCCTGGAATCTTGGAACGTGAGCAGGAGCAATCTGTTGTTTATGGTTCTATAGATTTTGGGAAAACAGTTCTCACGCATCCAAAATATCTTGAATTGGTTAGTATATAATGTTGTTCTTTAAAATGTATTGATTATTTTATATCACGTGTATTACATTTTATAGCTGAACAAAACCGGTCAACTGTTAAAAATTCTACCTCATAAAGTTATCAATGAAGCTGGAGAGGAGATTGAACTCTGCAGCAGTGTAGAATGTAAAGGCATTATCGGGAATGATTCGCGGCACTATGTGTTGGATTTATTGCGAACTTTTCCTCCTGATGTTAATTTCCTCAAATGTAAGTTAGTATGAATAATAAATTCAAAATTATTTTTAGTTATTAAATTGTTATTTTAATTTTCACAGTAGAGGAAGTTGAACTAAGCAAAGAAGCTAGAGCTTTAGGTTTCCCAATTGAACACAAGCATAAACTAGCTTGCCTTCGTCAAGAATTAATCGATTCCTTTGTCGAAGCTAGATATGTGCAATTTATTAAACATGCCGCTTTTCACCTTCAACAACTTACATCTGCAAGAAGAGTGCAGAAGGAAAATGAAACTACTGTCAAGGTAAGCAAAAATTTGTTATAGTTTATAACAGATATCAATAAAATTCGTATTACTATCCAGCAGTGCATTAATTTCAGGAAGGTAAAAAAGAAGAATTGAATATCGTTGCAGTGGATAGTAATAAAGAAGATTCTACTCATAGTTTAATAGAAACAGACGAAGCCAAAAAAATTGTAGAGAGCATTACTGATTCTATCAGTGGAGGAGAAAAACAAGAATGTATGTAACTTAATCATTTGTTTCGTCTATTAATTTTTACTTAAATTCTTTGTTTAAGTCTACTTCTTTTTCTTTTAGTGGAAGAAAGTACGAAAGAAATAGTTCGAAGGGCTGCAGCAGCCGTCGGTAGTTTACGAGAAGCTGAATTTGATGTTAGATTTAATCCAGATGTATTTTCTCCGGGTGTTAAACATCCAGATCCAAATGGTCCTGCTTTAAAGAAACAAAAACAATTAGTGCAAGATGCTGCTGATTTCTTACTTACTGTACAAATTCCTACTTTTGTACGTTTTAATATAGTGTATCTTCGTATTATTTAGACCAACTCTGTTCGAAAAGATATCCAACTTAATTTTTTTTTATTATAGATTCGAGAATGCTTAGATCATACAGTTGCTGCAATGGATGGTAGTATATTGGTAGAAGCTTTACATGGTAAAGGCATCAATGTACGATACCTTGGTAAATTGACAGATATGTTATCCACTGTTTCACAATTGGAATATCTTCAACGTATCGCTGTTTCGGAGCTTATTTTACGCTCGGCGAAACACATTTTTACAATTTATATGCAGGTATTCTCACAATTAAAAATCACAATTAAAACAGTATTATTTTAATTTTTGTAAATGTATTGCAAATTTACCTAACATTTATTCATTCTTCAGGGTACGGAATTAATGAGCCTTTCTGCAGCAATTAGCCATTTCTTAAATTGTTTATTTTCCTCTGCACAAGTTATTCATCCGCATCAAAATCTGGAAGAGGTATGACGATACTAATTACAGGATGTTTCTTCATCACTGGACAAATAGCATCCACAAACGTACTAATTTTCTAAAAAAAAATTTATATAATTGATGGTTTCAGCTTCAAAGTAAAACTGCCAAACGACGTAATAAGAGAAAAGGTAGAAATAATGGTCCACAACAGTCCGAAGTGGAATGGGCTTCCTTGACACCTAAGTCTCTTTGGCAGCAAATTAAAGCAGATTTAAAAAGTTATTACGATTGGGAGACACCGTGTCCAGAAACATTGGACGCCACGATAGAACATTTTCATCTGCAAAAAATTTCTTTGCTTCGCAATTTCTGTATAAAAACCGGTATTCAAATTTTGTTACGCGAATATAACTTCGAGAACAAAAATAGATCCACATTCTTTGAAGAAGATATACTTAATATATTCCCCGTTGTGAAGCATATCAATCCTAGGGTAAGTAATACTTTTGAAATACAAGAAGTAAATTATGAGTAGATTTTTAAGGTTTCATAAATAAATTATTTGAATTTACTTTTAACTTTATGTAGGCTAGTGATGCATATAATTTCTATACAACTGGTCAAAGTAAAATTCAACAAGGATATTTCAAAGATGGATATGAACTAATCAGTGAAGCATTGAATTTATTGAATAATGTCTATGGTGCCATGCATCCCGAAATTGCACAATGTCTCAGAATGCTTGCGCGATTGAATTACATAATGGGTGATCATGGGGAAGCTCTTGCTACTCAACAAAAAGCAGTTCTTATGTTAGAAAGAGTCAATGGAATAGATCATCCATATACTATTACCGAATATGTAAATATAAAAGAAAATATACTGAATAAGAGACTAAAAATAAATCATACTCGCAATTACTTTAATATTACTTTTATATTTGTTAACAGATTCGTCTAGCTCTATATTGTTTTGCCAATGGTCAAGTTTCTGTGTCACTCAGGTTACTATATAGAGCACGTTATTTGGCCTTATTAGTTTGTGGTGAAGATCACCCAGAAGTAGCACTCCTTGATGTAAGTATGCCGATAAATATTTAAAATTCAAAAAACCAAATATATATTAAATCTTTTATTAATAATTGTTTATTTAGAGCAATATTTCGTTAATACTTCATGCTGTTGGAGAATATGAATTGTCGCTTCGCTTTTTGGAACATGCTTTGACTTTAAACATTCGATATCATGGATCACGATCTTTAAAAGTTGCTGTTTCTTATCATCTTGTTGCAAGAACTCAATCTTGTATGGGTGATTTTCGGGCGGCTTTAAATAATGAAAAAGAAACCTATGCTATTTATAAACAACAGTTAGGCGAAGACCACGAAAAAACCAAAGAGAGTAGTGATTGTTTGAGACATTTAACGCAACAAGCCGTAGTCTTGCAGAAAAAAATGAATGAAATTTATACCGGAAAGTCCGGTGTTAGCTTACCGCCAATTCAGGTGCAACCACCAAGTATGGGATCTGTACTTGATATGTTAAACGTGATTAATGGTATTTTATTCGTTCAAATCAGTCAACAAGACATTGAGAATTTTAAGGCAGAAATAGGGAAACGACAGAAGGAACAAACACCTGACCGAGAAACGAAGGTTCTTCAAAATGGAAATAAGAAAACCGAGAAGGAAAACAAGAAAGAAGAAAAAGATAACAATAAAAAAGAGGAGAAAGAGAATAAAAAGAATGAAAAGGGAAGTAAAAAGGAAGACAAAGAGAATAAAAAAGATGATAAGGAAAATAAGAAAATAGAAAAAAAGGTAGAAGCGCAGAAAGAGTTGAAAAAGTTGGAGGAAAATAAGACAACGTTAGAACCGGTAGTTGCAGAGAGCTGAGCTCGTTTTAAACCGCTAATGATGATACTTAGTAGTTTCTTTTCTGAGTCCTAGTCTTTTCCTGCCCACGTTGGATCTTTTTTAAGAGTAACGCGAGTATGGCATATATAACTGATTGGGATAAAATGAAAATGACAAGTGTTCGCTCGAAATGAGGATCGTTATTTGATGTATCGTATATACGTTTATAAAGTGCTATCAGAATCGAACTTTTATATTGTGGCGATCAACGACAGTAAAGGTGAAATTTTTCGAAAGAATTAAATTTCCTAACATTCGCGATGCTCAATTATAATATGCCAAGCTGCAAAATTTATATGACTGATTTATAATGCACATAACAGATATAAAAAGAAATTGATTCTGCACTTATGTAAATAATTCTGAATTAAAGAATTCATTGCCTTAGCGCGTCTGCTTGTCGCAAATTTCATTCGTAATTCAATTTACGAATTTTACACATTATTGAACGAACAGAAAATAGTTTATGCAAAATTATAGACAACAATTTCTGTTGCCTAATATTATTACGTTTTTTTCCAAAGGCTCAATTAATTCTACTTCATAACAATAAAAGTTATGGATATTGCATACGCTACACTTCTATTAATCGACGAAATAGTAAATTAGTATTTGTTCCAGCGTATGGCACAAGTGTTACTGAAACTCAAATGGAATGCAATGTACCAGTAAAATTAAAATGCTATGGTATTTGTCTGTAAAACAAATAATGGACTTTATTATCGTAGAATATAAGTCAATTATTTTTTTTTTTTCTACATTTTCGATAGGCTATTTTATTAGTATACATTTCAAAATATTGTTTTGTGCCATTTAGGCAATGTTATCACTTTCCCATTTTAGTTGCCATTGATAAACTTAATACATACTAAAGTCATAAAAATGTTTTTTATTTTTAAATACTATTAATTTGAAGTTCATCTTGTTGAGTTCAATATAAATACTATACATAATAGATTTTTTCTAAGAAAAATATTATTAAATTTATGACTTAAAAAAAAAATCAGAAACAATGTAGGTCACATAATGATCAATAAAGAATAGTATCTATATCGTATTCAACATGACAAGTTCATACAATTTTCTTAATCATTTTACAATATATACATTACATAAAATTTCTTTCTATCACCGTTGTTTTATCGTCACCCTACGCGAGAATTTGAATTTGAACAGAATATCGAATTAAACAAATTTTCCATTTACACGGAAAAAAAGAAATATTAAAAAAAAAAAAAAATAATGGTTACAGAAATATAGTATAATGACAGGTATGCTGTTATATTTCACGATCATTAATAACGGTTATCAAAAACGATCATTAATCAACATATAGAAGTAGCGTCAATTTCCTAATTACTAATAGAGGCACTGCAGTTAGTTCTAGTATTATAAAGATCGAGAAGCATCTGTTACCGAACATATATCTCTATTAAGTAGCATTTGTTAAAAAATGAATGTTAACAATATACTTTGTTTAAAAAAAGGTTATTTTGTGTTTGAAGTCAGTTATGTTTATAATGATAATAGTAATTTCAATAATAATAATGAAAGGCGAAGAAGTGAACATGCCGTATAATTTTTGTTTATCAAGTTTGTATACTTTACAATACAGAAAATTGTATTGCACTTGTTAGCCAAAATGTATGATAAAAAATGCTAGTTAATAAGGACTATTGATTAAAAATAAAGTTAAATACCTGACTTACATGTATGTTACCCGTTATATAATTTCATAAATTTGCATATAAAATAAATCATTTTATATGGAACATAAAGAGACATTAAACGGATTCCATATTATTTTTTAATGAATTTGAAGCTTGTTCCGAATTTACTACAATTTTGCCTGTGTTTAACTCATTTCTTTTCCTTTTATTTGGTCTTGTATATTGTTTCTGAAAATATTCTCTAACATCTAATTTATTTATTAAATACTGTCGAAATGTTTCTAAAGCATTCTTACCACCAGTTCCTTTCTCAAAAACCATAGATATTCTTACATCTTCATTTTCAGATTCTTCATGTTCTATTATTTCAGCAAAAATATTACATATTAATAAAGGTTCTTTTGCTATAGATTTCTCTATTAACTCTTGATTTTTTTGTTCTCCGATTATATTTTCAGTATTATTTTTTATTAATTTTTCTCCAGAATTTTCCACAACACATTCTAATGCAATTGTATCTTTTGTATTATGGGTCACAGATTGATTCATTAATCTTTGAGATAATCGACGTTTTCTACGTGTATGTGACCACGTATCATTTTTCGCAATTAGTTGACATGACCAACCGTTAAAACCGTCAATCGGCAAATTTAACTCCTTAATTTCTACCTACATAAAAAATATGTCATAAATTAAGGTATTATAAATATAATGCAATAAAAATCTATATAATGTTACATTTAATTCTTCCATTATTTCTTCTAAAAAATTTACGAAATTATCAAAAGAGGAAAATTTATGTTGCATTGGAAATTGTATTTCTGTTGGACGTCGTTCTTTCAGCAATTTTGCAACATAATCTTCACTTTTCCTAATAACAGGTGCATTTGTTAAATTAATAACATGTTTTGCTAGAAATGACCAAGCCAATCCCCATCTGTAAAAATTTTTTATTTATAAATATATGAACATTACTAGTAAAAAAAATATATTTACCGTTTTGTATGACCTTGACAGAATTCTGTCCATGTTACATTTTCTATATTTTTCTTCTTCAAATATTTTAACAAAAACAATAAATTAATTCTTGTACCAAACATTGTGGTATAAATTTTTACTTTTTCTTTAATTTCCATACTTTCTTCAATCATCTGCATTACAAATGCTCTTTCACCACCTTGAATTGTAAGTTCAACTTCATTTCCAGTTGAAGCATTTCTTGGTGGTAACCGTTTTATTACTTTTTCTGACGATCCTGCTCTATCAAAGAATGGTGGATTACACATTGTAAAATGATAGATATTACCTTCCTTTATAATGTCTTTCAATATTGATGCGCCATCTACCTTCAATACTGCAAAACAATATTTGGAAGTTAAAAATATAAAATTATATGTAATTTATAAAATAATAATATATATTTAATTTGCCTTTTATTATATGTTGTAAATTATTATTTTCAATATGTTCAATAGCTGTTTGTACACTTGTTTCATCAACTTCTGTACCAATCATTTGATTTCTATACATTTTTGCAAATAACAAAGGATAAATACAAATTGCTCCAGTACCTATAACAAAAACAGTTATTTTCAAACTAATTTAATATTAAATTTCATTATTAAATTTTTAATACCAATATCGATGCCAATTACTTCCTCCATATCATTAAAAGAAGCATGTTTCATTAAATCTTCAATCCACAAAATATAATTTAAGCGTAATGGCAATGTTGGCACTAATTTATTTGGAGGTATTTTTACTTGTAGATTAAAGTCATGTTTTAATAATACTTCTGTGAGTACTCGTAAACTTTCTTCATTTTTGAAGTTAATCTTTATCTTGCCATTTAAATTCTATACATTAAATAGACATTAAATTTAGAACATTTAAAAATATATATTTTGTGTAGAAAAAAATTTAATAATAGTAAGTAATTGTTTAAAAATATATCTTACAACAATTGCAATATTACAGAATTCAGGATATAATAAGGCAAGTTCCTTAAAATCTGGTAGAGTTTTATAAATATTTCTTGGGTGCATAAATTTTCTTAATGACATTTTCAAGGAATTGGTTTTCCTTATTTTTAATAATAATGTTAATAGATATTTTATAATTGTAAATCGTATAAAACACGATTATCTGTAATAATCAATAAGGAATGTTTTCTTTATAAAAATGTGGAATATGTATGTTTATTCCAAATTTTTATGTCACATTATGTAATCATAGTTTTGCTTATAATATTTATTGACTAAACCCTAAAAACTTAGCATTGCATTGAAAAGAATAATTTTCATAGTATGTTTATTACAGTTTGTTTTAAAACATCAAATTGTGAAACATTCAATTTCAATATTAAAAAATTATCCACTTCACATTTTTAATTTCTTCAAGTTTATATATATTTTGATAAAATATATATAAGTTTAATCTCAATAATCACCGAATGAAATTGTCAGTTTTTGTTAAATAATTGAAGCAAGTTGTACAATACGAGTGTATTTATTACGTAAGAATATTCCTAGAATAGCAAATATAAACTAGTAACAATATGGTAACTTAGTTTAACGGGTGAGTTTCTAATTGTGAAGGTACAATATTGTAATAGTTAGATTATTAAAATTAATAGAAGTTAATACTTTCTGAAGAAATAAATTTATTTAACTATTTAGAATCTTAAAATATTGGAAAGTAACTATAGAATTTAACAAGTAAGTCTCTTAAATATATAAAACAAAACTGTTTCTTTACACAGCTATAATACTTTGGACGTTGGCAGCAGTGTACATGAACAAATCTATCGTGATGACAATTTTAAGTGGTGACAGCCGCGTATGTGCTTCGCTACTCTTGTAGTAGCGTTATATCCGTTTTTGCTGACACGAAACTTAATTTTTAAACTTAGTGCGTGATTTGTTTCGTAAGGAACGTATGGAATATTAATTGCGCCGCAGGTATGTGCTTTACAATAATTTTAGCGCATATCAGAAACAGATGGTCGTCATGATTCGTTTCGCCTGACAGTTTGTTAATATGGACAAGTGCTACTCTGACAGTTTTTCTTTTTCATCGTTGTATTGTTAGGCACCTGTTAGTGATTCTTTTCTTTTTATAACTCATTAGATGATTCTTGATACTTTATTATCGATCTATATTTCATCCGTGTGAAAAGCAGTATGATATGAATAAATTTTATGTGGAATAACGATTAATGATGTCACGTTAAAAATATTTATTTTCTTTGTTATGTATTTTAATTAACAAATTATATTTTGCTTTCGATGTTACTATTTTTTTTTTTTTTAATAAATTAAAACGAAACGTACTGAAATAATATTACTGATAGTTAATTTGGACATATATGAATACTTTTATGTACTCAATGGATATTCTCATCAAAGTATAAAATTATATTAGGATTAAAAAAACAAAATTATACATAATAACTTTTTTCACTTAAATTATAATTATGCGATATATAGGTACTATTATTGTAAAATTATACAAGTCAATTAAATTTAAAGACATATGAGTTTTTTAATAATTTACAAACTGAATACTTAGGATTAAAGAACACACGTATTGACTAAAATAATAACATTGATAAATTTTTCATATTTCCTTTCATTAAATAAGAGAATAGTTGTGGTTAGTTACAAATAAACTTAAAGAAATTTGGTAAATATTGATCTCATTTAAGAATTCTTCTTATTCTAGATAGAAAGAGTACAGTATTATAACTAGTAAAAAGACTAAAATTTCAGTATCTGTTTTGAAATTTTAGTGAACTTTACTAAATCGTACAATTTTATAGATATAATGTTACTTTGCATTTATAAACAATATTTTATACATACCAACACTCTTCTTATTGTATACCTATTTGATAAAGATCTACAATCTAAACAAATATTGTTTAAGTGTTTCCAAGAGACAAAAATACACACAAATAAAATGAAATGGAAGAATATGAGAATCATCGTAAAATCAAATAATTTCCTTTCAATACTAATTTAACAGATACAAAACCTATTTTCAATGATCTTAATTTGTATCAGTGTCTACCTTGAAAAGAAAGTTTTTTAACTTAAACTGTTTCAGTTGTCATTCTGTGAAAATATTTTCATGGAGTCTCATTACATTCCACTTAACCACTGTATTCTCTTCAGAATTTGATTGCTGAAATCATACACAGGAGTTCTTTTTTTCGAATCATCGCATTCCATGGTGTGAAACGAATGTGCTTTCTTTCCTCCCTCCCCAGTTCTCGATCACTTTGTTTGTACATACATTTGGACGATTGCTTTCCACATATACAATCGCGTATGTTGTGTAATCGTAACGGTAAAGTGATCCGTCATTCATCGTTATGGAACAATTAGGGAAACATATTGTAACGTTCATGAAAATCCTGTGTAATACATCGGGTGTGGATTGAAGAGTCCAGAAAAGCCAACGTAACGAATTTGTTTCGGTAAACAGAGACCGGTGAAAGGGTCGTTGCTTGCTTTTCACGTGTAATTCTTCCTCGCACGATGAGATACGCGCTTTTTCACGATTCTGCTTCGAACCCAATTCGCTGCAATACTTTATCGTGTTTCGTTTTTCTTCTCGTTACAGCAGCAATTTCAAATTGTACTGCAGTACAAACATGTTTAAATATAAAATACACTTCTTAGAAAAAAAGATGGTGATTTAGGGAATTTGATGTGACATAGAAGAATTAATATTTGAAGTATGGTAACATTTCTTCCTGTTAGTTAGACAGCTTCAATTTGAACATATTTTAACATAAACACCTCTACTAACTTTAATTTTATTTAATTCTGTAAAATTGAAGGTTGAAATAAGATATTCGATGATAACTTTTTTTAGTATTTTTTTTTTTTTTATTAATATCTCTATCAGACTTACTAGTCAGGTCATGTCATCGTATTAATACAATGAAAAAATAGTTTCAAATACTTAATCTAAAATACAGTAAAATGCCCGAAGTGTTTTTACGTAATAGTAAAGTAGTTATGTAATTGTACACATTTGTGTTTTTTAACATATCGGATGATGTAATATGTTTCGTTAAAAAAATATAACGTTGTCGATAAAAATGACTAACATAGTGTTTTTACATTATTCGAATTTCTCACGAATAATTTTACGAGTAAAAATCTAAGAATTCTATCATATAAACTTTCATATTTCAAGCCAGTAATTTTTACCGCACGCGTTCTATTTAAAATAAAAATGGTGTACTTGCAACATATAAATATACACGCATGTACTATAGTTATACACGAGACGTTCTAAAACCGATCAATTTTGCCTTGTTATAAAGCAGAGCATCCTATGCGCGAAACGTACTGTTTTATAATTAATTGGAACTCCAATTATGGAACGAGAAAGTTAAGAAAACCCTCGTATCTTCTCTTTCCTACGAACTTTAACAACTAAATATTCATTGCAACTTGTAAACTGACTTCGAGTTATAAAATATCGATAAAATTGCAAATGGTTTAATACAGATGCTATATAGTATTTTTTATTAAATATCTTGTTTATATGATATAGAACAAATATCCTTGGCTGATTTTTTAAAAAAGTGAGGTAAAATTTATAGTTTATTTAAATAAGTATACAAATAAATATATACGAATAATTTTTTCAGCGTAAAACATCATAGATGTTTGATATCCGGAAGCATTTTCTATTTGATTTCACTTAGCAGAGGTCATTTCGTTCGATTTGCGTTGTCAGAGGCTGTTGACTAGTTATTTAATTTCCTAGTGAATAATAAATATCTCGGTCGATAAATGTTTCAAAAATGTGAAATGATTTTATTTCATTTTCTTTTGATCAACAGTATAGGGATATCAAAATATGCTATAAAATAGTATAAAAGTATAGGAAAGCAAATTAAAAATATTTCTATATTCTTCTATATTATTCTTCCATACTTGTATGTTATTCTATACTACATTTCGATATTTCGATTATAATACATAATAGTATCAGTAATAATATGTCGGATATTTCTAATAACATAATGTCCTTGCAATATTATATGCAAAAGTATGAATTTAATTAAAATCTCACCCGATAACTATTTTATATTTTTACCAATATTTCAATAATTCTACCACCCTTTCGATGTCTCCGTGAATATCCAATAGTATTTCAATATTCCTTTCATTCTTTCAGGACAATACTCCTCGATAATTACATCGAGTTTCCAATCATCTCGCAGCAGATGCCGACACTTTCCAAACCTACTCTCAATAGAGATCCACCTTAAATTCTTCAGCGTCTCTCAAACCCTACCCAATTAAAAAAAAAGAACTCATTTCTCTGTTAATAGTTCTTCAAACATTCAAATATTTAATCTCAAGCAGCTAACCTATAACCTCATTTTCCGAGATCGTCTATCATCTGGAAATCGTCAACCGTACAGTTCCTACGTAAAATTTCCCGTCGTTCCGTCGCCGGAATCGTAGTCCTTTTATTTACTCTCGTTACGAAAGAAGAGGTCGCTGCGCATGTGACGCGTCCTGGCCTGCGCGGGCTCTATCGATCTTCAAACCGTTTCGTATACGTTTCCAGTACGTGTTTGGCGATCCTACTGTGCCAGTTTGATCGGAAAAGGGAACGAGATAAAATCAACATCGATTGGCCAATTAACCGGCGCCCCTTGTCGGACAATCGTGCCTCGACTGCTTTTCGAGATCAATCGTTATCTCTGTGTGATATCGTGATATTAGTCCCGGTTAGGCAATCTTCCACACCTGTCACGCCACTTGATCTCGATCTTCTTCTCTTCTGCATAGACGTACGCTCGTTCGTCGCTGTGTACGATTTCTTTTTCAGTTTTCTTTTATCTCTTTCTCTCTCCTTTTTTTATTTTTTATTTTTTTTTAATCATTATCGGAAGGTTACTAGAGTTACTAGAAGTGGGTGGGGAGATAGTTCTTTTTAGAGGGAATCTGCGCGGGCAGAGGTTTTGAAGTTTACGTAATTGTGTTTTGAATAATTGCACGTTCGCTGCGTTTGATGTATTAGAATTTTTATTTGCAGTGAAGTT